CCATTAACCCTTTGTAACAAAATATCCATACAATATTTTTTCCTTTTCATTTTTTACCTATAGAATAATCACCAATTCATTGGCTGGTCATCGACGTATTAGTATGCTTGCACCCACATCATTCACAAATTCAATTTAATTATATAATTAAAGAATAAAGAGTTAAAAAAATCAAAATTATGCTAATGATGAAAAATGGTAAAGTGATGCATTATAAAGAAAGACCAAATAATTTATAATATCTGTAATAGTTTATTGTAATTTGTGTCTGACTACTTATTGTGTCTTAAAATGGCTTCACTTTCATCCCCTACACTTCCAAAGTGCAAAAAAAGGATTCTCTCACCTGTAAGTAAATAACTTCAATTAAGATAAAAAACCGACAAACATTGAACTTTCCCTGGAAATCCTGTAACGAACACAGAGGGGTTGAAACCACCGCGAGTTCGACACGTCATTCAGAATCGACTAACACCGAGTATCAGCGACAGTAAATTGCATCTATCTCTCCTCCCTGTGTCTCTCAGTCAGGTAAAAAAAAAAAAGAGAAAACAAAAGGTAGGTTTTCTTCCCCTCTGTGGAACGAGGGTGGCTGGAGTGATGGCGGGGGTTGAATCGTCTCGCTCACCGACGTTTTATACGTCGCCGGGTTTCATGCGGCGCGGTAATTTTTTTATTAGCTTGAAAACCACTCGACTCGTCGTCGTCGTCGTCGACGTCGCCTTCGTCGTCGTCGTCGTCGTCGTTGTCGTGCTGATCGTTGTGTCGCCCTCACGGGGATAAAAAAAAGGATCGTCCATCTCCGTCTGTTGACGAAACGACCATCTTTGTCGTTCAGTTGGCTCCCCTTTCACCCTTCAGAACCACCCCCTACCCCTTTCAGTGTCGAACAGTCAAAAGAACCACGCGTTCATTTGCCTTATTAAGTAGTTTTGCGGGAATTAAGAGCGTGTCGCTTTGTCGACGCTCGCCCTCGCCATTGTTCTCTTCTCGCGAGCTTATTCCGCTCCTCCCTGCCAAGAATCACCGTTTTTGGCCCGAGAAACCTTGGAAAACTTTCTGTTGGACCACTCTCTCTTTTCCTTTTCAGGCCATCAAGATTCTGCTGGCTTAAGAGTTCAGTGCTGTTTCTGTGCCTTGAAAGGTTTGTTTCAAGGTAAACATTGACTCAGATATAGAGCAAATTAATTTTTATGAAATCATATCAAGATAAAATCATATTTTGTCTACTCTGAGGGGTAAGAGCTATAGAGATTTTTCTTTTTTGTTGCATTAATCTAATGACGTTTGGAATTACCATGATTTAAAAACAAATAAATCTTCAATTAATAAAAGGAAAAGGCACACAATTAAATTTATTATTTGTGATTACTCAACTTGTTTAATAAATTAAAAAGTGTTACCCTCTGAAATTTAAAATACACATTTTTAATAGTCAATAATAGAGCAACTAATCTATTAGATTGTACAAATTATTGAAGCGTTTGAATAGAAATGTACACGTTGGAAAAATATCCAGAGTAGTGGTAAAATGTTCAGTGAAAATGTCTAGCGTACCGACTGGAACGAACGTTTATCAAAAACTGCTCGCATCCCTCTCGACCAGGGAAACGAGAATTTCGCTGTCGGATTAACCCTCTTGACCGAGCGCGATAACACAGGCAAAGAAAAGGGCGGGGAAGGGTTCGGAGGCGAAGCCGACCACACGGAAAGGAAGCAAAACGAAGCTGAAGCAGGTAAATTCTAAGCCGCGAGATTCTCCATCCGTGGCTGCGCGCGCTGCAAGTGCACCTCCGGTGCTAATTAAAATCAGACCACGTGTCTTTCCGAGCCATGGTCACGAAAAATAAACGGAAAAAGATCTTTTCAACGGTGCCTGGAACCCACCCTTCGCCTCTTCGCTTGCACTCTCTCACCCTCTTTCTCTGTGACACTACCACCAACCTCCTCTTTCCCCGGTTTCCTTTCACCCCCACCGCCCTCCTCCCAGGGGCTGCAGCGCACCCCATGCCGGCTTAATTATCGTCCAAGTGTTCTTTAAAGAGCGAATTACACGCTCGATGTTTACCGCAAGCTCGAAGCTTTTCATTCGTCCCGTTTTCTTTCTTCCCTCTTGCTCTTACCTTGCTACCCTCTCTTGCTCTTTATTTTCTTCACGATCGTTCGAAAATATGCCGGTGAAACGAACCAACGTTTCTTTCATCGGCTCGCCGATTCTCGTTCGATGATTTCTCAGGGATTTATCAAATGGTGATCAGATTAGGATAATCTTTGTTTGAAATTATCCAATACTGCACTTTTTAATTTTCTGTTTTCAAAGTTGTGGTGATTATTAAGTTTATTCATTTTGTTTGTAATAAATTAATATATTAAATGTATAAATAAATTATAGGTCTTTAGTCTTACGTTTTCTTAATTAGTATTTTAAATTTGAATATTTTTCAAATTTAAATATACTTATAGGAATAAACAAAAATACTTATACACATATGGGCATCACGGTTCAAAAATGACCCTAATAAAGCAATGAAGAAATAATTTTATCCCACCGATTGGGTATTAACAAGCCTGATCTCTCTGCAGTCCAACCTTCTGGAGGATGAAAAAAGAGAATAGAGCGATCGACAGGTGAAAAAGTCGGTGATTTCGTTCCGCGAGATTTCGTCGTCGCTCGTTTTTCTTTCTCCTTTATCGGAAATTTCTTGCCACGTTCTCCGCCACTTTGAGACACGCGATTTTCCTCGCCCCGTTTTCCGACGTCGATTAACGAGTCGGCCATTGTGGGGACCGTGTTCTTGCTTCTTTCTTCTACTTTCTGCGTTCTTTTTTTTTCTCGTCCCTTCCTTTCAACCCCCTCGCGTTTCGCGGCCGTGGAAAAACGCAGCGAAACGCGGTTAAAGTACACGGTAAGGGGAACAAATTTGAAGCTCATTACCGCTCCTCTTTCGCAGATACGACCAGAGGGAAAGCTGGATGCGAGCTGAAATCTTTATACGAGAGTTCGTTCGTTCGTACACGCTCGTTCTTTTTCGCAATTTTTCACCTTCTCACTGGATTTTTGATTCTTCTCGCCTTTCTCTCGCACGCCTTACCTCCTTCGCGCGGGATTGATTGCCCGATAAATTTCACGTGAATTTATTATAATGCCTTTTAACCGACCAACACGCTTGAACCATTTCCGGTACACCGGATTTATGACGTACTTAGAGATTACTATTCCGATATTAGACGGAATTATTTTGGAATTTTTATTGAAACGGTTCAATTTTAGAATTGCTTCATTCAATTTGTAATTAATTAAATGAAAATCACAACCTGAATATCCGCATCTAATTGGCTAATGATAAAAACTTTGCATATCCTGTCCATCTCATTAATTTTATTAACAAAATTTTCTAAACAAATCAAAATCGTTCCATCGCTCTATGCCCCCCTCCCAAAAAGAATCTTAAATATATTAATAGTTGTTGATTTTCAGAAATCTTTGAAATAAAAAAATATTCCAGTTTGAAAAGAGTACATCACGCCAGGTTGGATTCTACTGTAACCACAAGGGAAGGCTTACGATGCGTTTACACGAATCCATCAACAAGCATCGACGGCTACCGGTTTCGACGACTTCCGCTGGCATATTTCCATCGCCCCTCGATATCAGCGCGGCAAAGGTAAAGAGAGAAAGCCCGGCTGAACGAGAAGCCTTCAATCCCTGGAAGCAACGAATTGTCGTCGTAGTCGTGGCAAGTTCCCTTCCTCAGCCACCCCCTGGCCATACTTCCACCCTTCGCCATTCGATTTTCCACTATTTCCCGATCGTCCGTTCCTCCCTCTCGTCCCGTCCATTTCCATCAGTCTCCTCTGACGTTTATACTTTCGTGAACGGACCCGAGGGTTCCGCAGGGACGAGTTAAAGGGGTGGGTGGTCTTGATCGAGGGTTAGCAAAGGTGGAAAGGACGATACGCGGGCGTGGAAGAAGGATAAAGAAAGTAGTAGAATAAGGAGAAGAGGACAAGGAGGAAGGACAGGAAAGAGGGGGGTGGTAACGGCCAACATCGGGGGTGAAACAACCCTCCGAAAGGATCTTTCTCTATCTCCCTCTTGCGCTCTGATATATTGCCTCACCCGTAACCCTCACGCGCCCTAAACCATCCCTTATAGCCGCCATCTTGAAGGACTCCCAACCACCCCGTTCTACCCGTGGCCCTTGCCATCGTTTCAACCCCCTCTACAGCCACCTCCGAACTGCGGCCTGCACTCACCCACTCGCCCGCCCACGATCGAAAATCCCGTTAGACTTATACGGGCTTAGCCCGTCCATTTTGACGAGGGGGTACGTGCCAACCCTGCGAGCCAGCCACCCTCTTTCTTTTTGCCTCTTGCGGAATTCCATGGGGCTTTTTTTCCGTCTCGACAGACCTCTGCTGCTTTTCCAAATGCCGTCGGACGTGCCTGCTGGCCCTTCGAACTTCGTTTCTCCTTCGGGGCTCCTTTTTATCTTTTCTTTTTAAGAGCAGATTTCAATGTTGAGGGGTTGCTCATGAGTATAATGGTGGATCAGCTTGTTTTGGTAATTAGCTGGATGTAATGTAGACGTTGATGCTGGAACAGATTGATTTATGCAAGGTGAATTTTTTGAAATATGTAGGGGTAGGTTGTTAAGTTATTATAAAAATAGCATATTATTTTTAATTTTTGGGGTTGGTAATAGGTGAATTTTATTCGAAAGAACAGTGTAAAGTTTACAAAATGAAATTAGAATCGGGGCTCTCTAACATTGGGGCTCTCTCAAATCTAAACAAGATTTATCCCCCTAACACATCCCTCAAAATAGAAAAAAAATGCTACTTCAAATATTATTTTTTAAAAAAGTATAACTCAGAAAGTAATGGAAAAGTATCCCGCAAAAATAGTCTTCATACTTAAAAGCCCCAATTCTCAACACTATCATCGTATCCATCCCCAACTACCCCTACAGTGTCGCCATATTTCTTCCAGACAGTATCCTTGCAACAGGATGAAACCTCGTAGAAGGCACAGAAGTCGTCAGAGCGAGGAAAAATTTCAGCCAGTCAATCCACAAGGACTTCGTTTCGATCAACGTAGACGCACCCCTGCGGCATCGACCCCACAGTCGAGGGAAATTCACGGGCTTCTCCCTCGCAAAACGAGTAGGTGTTTCCGGTTTATTCCCGGAATTCCGCATGGGGTGGTTTGCGAAACGCATAAGGGGTTTGCCCTTATGACCGGGCCAAAGGCAACGCTTCTAAGGGACGAACTGCATTTTTCGAAGTCCTCGCGTGCCCGCGGGATTCACCAGCCCCTGTACCAGGCGACGGGGTACTTCGCATTCTGCTACATCGTCGCGGGATTTGATTATGCAAAGCGGCAACCCCCTTAGGCCGTTTGCACTCCTTCGTCTCTTCTCTTTCTTCCGGCACCGTTCGTGGATCCCGTTCTTTCTCCGTCCGGACACGTAGGCGGCCCATCATGCTCGCTGACTTTCACCTGAGTGTCCTGGGAACCTCGGCGCTGCATTCTTATTCGGATTATTCCGACCGTTTATGAAAATTGAAAACTTCGTTGCCGTGAATTTTAGTTTCTCGTGACAATTTAAATTTTTTAGGACACTTGGAAATAAATTAATAACTGAATGTTTTGAATGTTTACAGGTTGCTACAGCAGGACAGGAACCTTCATCTTCAGTGAGGTACTTCTTCTATTATTTTATTTTTTAGAATTCTGATTGATAATATTAAGAATTCTTATACATTTTCAGCAAAGTATCAATTTACAGTGATCGAAATTTAAGCGAAGATAACTCTATACTTATAGTAACTTTTTTCAATATTTTATTTCTATGATATTATGTTTCTGAAAATTTTATTAGTACTGATTGATGATATCTATATGATTAGTAATATTTTTTTTATATGTTATAGAATATTGCATAATAGAAATACGATTTATCCAATACAAATGGCATATTTCTAATAGCAACTTAGAATTGAATATGAAAGTACTAATTCATAATTTAATTTATATTTATTTTGTTTGAAAAAGGAGAATGAAAATTTGTATTGATTACTGTGAATTGATAGAAACAAGTATACTTAATCCAGTAAACGATTCCGTTTATGAATGAAAATGGTTCCCTTTCACTTCTCTAACTTTCGCCACGAAATCCAGAATAACGGACGATAAGCGTTCACCATGAGCACGGAAACACTTTATCGGTGCAAGTTTTCTTCACAGACATAAATCTTCTCGTTCTTCGTTCAAGCTGTGCGCAGTCAACTTTTAAATCAGTCAACTTATATCTGATACAAGTATTTCTAGTTATTAACAGTAAATTGACAATTAAATTCGTCATTTTCTTGAATATTTTATTCCGAAATCCTTTAAATTCTATCTCAGAGAAATAAATAAATTTAACTCAGATATGTCAAGAGATTATTGAAATTCCAGTGGCGCTTGAATTAACAGTTGTAATTTATGGAATTTTAACAAATAATTCTGAAATAGAAACAAGTAGGTCGTGAATTTATTTGCCAACTTAATAGATAAGTAAAATAATTGCCAATAATACATTTGATGGATTTCCATAAAAATTGCTATGAACAATCTCAACCCCATATGAATGACGTAATAATTAAATGTTAGAAAGAACCATAACAAAAGCACCAACGCCTTGAAACGCAGTAACCAGGACAAATCCCAACACAAATGCAATCTTCCAATGAATTCTCTTTAACTACCCCGTAAAAGCCCTCGCACGATCCGATTCGTTCAAAGACAGTACGTTATCGGGTCTGGCGATAATCGTTGGTATCGGTTCGGTTTGTTCCCCCATTTCTCCTCCGTCTTTCCGCAACATAAAATCGATCGTATCCCTGGAAGGCAGCCGGTAAGCCTTAGGGCTTAGGTGTAGCTAGGCTACATCGCCTCGGATTTGAATACTGTCGATTCTCAATTGTTGCGGATCACGCGCGACGCCGCCCGAAAAACGCTCTCGAACGGTGCTATCCTTTTTCGAACAGGAACACAGAGTAGGGAGGAGAGAGAGAAAGAAAAAAAAAAAGAAATAGATGTATATAATTTGGGTCCCCGGCAACGGCAGCTGCGTGGGTCCCGATATGCAAAAAAGGGGTTGCCGCACGGAATTAGAATATCCTCGCGGTCTCATTTGAATTTCAATCTCGCTACGCGGACAGTTTTCCTCTCGTTGCTTTTAAACCCTCGGGGCCCCGTGTATCTGCCTACCTACGGATTCTCAGGTAACCACCGTCGGACGAAGGGGTTGCCGGAACAGCAGGATGAAAAAGAAAAAAAAAAAAGGAAAAAGGAGAGCACTGGCGCGGTGCCCCATTAAAAATCCTCTGTCGACTACCTGGCGAACGAAAAAACCCGAATGGAGGGGGGAAACGGTGAACGTGGCGCACCTCATTAGAGTTTCGCGTTCAACGTTTAAATCCCGACTCGCCGGGGGTAGTTTTCTCTCCCTTTCGCGAGAGGGATTCCAAAGGTGTCGCCGGGAATAATGCGATGCCGCGTCCACGGAATTACAGAGGAGAGGCTTATCGAGCCGCGGGCTGAATCGTGGAAGTTTCTTTCCAGTAGGGAAGGGGAGGTGTTTGGTTTGCCGGCGAATCGAGGAAATGTTTGGGTCTTCGTTATGATAATGAGTAATTGAATTTTATGAGATGGATTTGTTTGGATTGGAGATTGAAAATAGCTTCTTCGGGGTTGTTCAACCCTTTGGGGTGGTAACTCGATTGAGGACTGTGCAGGATGAAACACTATAGTGGGAATTTGTAACGTTTGATGAATTTTATAGAATTAAAATAACAATATTATCTTCTACATTTGCAACATTTTATTTTTTAATTTTCTTACAGAAAATTAAAAAAGTATTAGCATCCCCTTATATCACAATAATTATATTTAACGATCCGATTGTTATTTTAAAATAAATTCTGTGATACTTTAATAAACAAGCGCACTTTTGTCAAAAGAGAATGTGCTGCTATTTTCTTTATTTATTGTGAAATAAAATACACCATATCAGTGAAAGTTTACAGTGAACAGAGTTTGCAACATCATCGATGCATTCTATTATCCGTATCGCGTGGCTTGCACGCGCAAGAAATAGACGAACATCGTAAAGAGAGGGATGATATGAAAGAAGGGTCGTTCGAGGTAGAAAAAAGAGTGTGCGAAGGAGGGATAAGATGGTAGGCCATAGCCGAAGGCCTTTCCTTCTGTACGAACACCCTTCGATACGCTTCTCTGAGGGTACAGTACGCGCAAAATCGGCGACCATCCCTTCGAAAACTACCCCCATGGTTCTATTTCCACCGATAAAACCGATGGAACGCAAGGGCAGCTCGCGGAAAACTCCGCCATCCCTTAGACTCACCGATAAAAGCGACGACTTCGATTGGTTCAGGGGATGGGGTAGGGTGAGCTACTGTATAAATACATGTGAGCACGCGTGCTTCAGGGGAGGGTGGGTTTTATCGTGCATTTGCACACCTCGCGACGAAAGAAATATAACAGGGCGTTCAGGATTCTTTATATTCGAGGAAGAATTCTATATATTGCTACATTTAGCAATTTTTAATATTTAGAAGCGATGGCTGGGTCGATTAAGTCCCAGACTACTCTTAATTTTAAAAAAATGTGTTATTCAAAGGAGATGTGGAAGGCAAGGAAGAAACAAATGTGAACCATTGCTTCACTCAGATATTTTGCTGATACGATAAATCTTGGTCAGTTTTAAGGTAGAAATAAAATGCAGCAGAATTGTGTTCTACGGAAATGAAAATAAAGAACAGTAGCAGCAAATTTTCGAAAGATTGTAGAATTGAAAAATTACCAGCATCCTTTTCAACGTACTCAGTGAACTTTGCGATTTGATATTACGCTTGGAAAACAACTTTTCATAACTGAGAATATTAAAAAAATTCAAGCTTCTGTTTGATTTTTGCTGAAGTGAAAATTTTAGTACGGTACACTTAGAAAATTAATATTTTTCATTCTGAAAATGAACTGTACCTTAATGAAACCAAAAATATTTAATTTTTTTCACGTCTATTTTTATTGATTACTGATTTTAAATATGTTAATTTATATCAGATAAATTCTAAAATTCCTTGAGATAAATATTTCAGATTTATACAAAATTCATATTAATACCTATTCACAGTATAAACCTCCACATCAAACCTCTCCAAAAATCTTAAGAACCAACCACCCAAAATCAGTTCTACCGCCATGAACCTTCCTCCGTCAATACCCTCATACAACCCAAACACCCCATTACAACGGATGTCATTCAAACAAACCGTCAGAAACAAAATCTAATTGCTGTTCTGCAACGGGGTCGACTCCCAGTCTGAATCCGATCGATCTTCCATTCGGCAAATAAAATTGCCGATATCGCGTGGTAGGGTGTTTTCATCCCTGAAAATTCCTTGCTCTGCAAGCTGGCTGAAATTCGCCAGGCCGGATTCTTGGCGGTAACTGTACGACGTCAGTAACGTCGAGTCCGTCAAGTAACTCGCTGAGCTCGTGTGTGGACTGCGAGTTTACCCGTCGTCGACGACGACGAAGACGACGTGTGTTCGTCGAGCGAGAAACTTTAGACCGACCTAGGGCCCGGATGCGAGCTTCCCGGATGCGGTTCCTGCCACGTCTTTGCCATGGTTGCACGCCTGGAAAGTTTTGCCCTACTGTACCACCGCACCACCGCCAACCATCCCTCTTTGCCTCTCAACCTCACCCCTTTGCCCCGGGGATTTTGGTTAGAATATTGAATCTCGCAGAGTGGAGGCGCTGTAACGAGCACACCGAGCCGACCCGGCGAACGTCGTACCCTCGACGTCGCTCACGGTACCGGGACCACCCGCTCGCGAACCGAATAATCCGCTAGCACGGAAGACACCAGGTGAGAGGAACCGGGCCACGCGGGAGCTCCCGGATCCCGCTTGCTTATGATGGATCGTACAATTTCCTACCACGGGATTTTCATGGTTTTTGCTCGCCTTATTTTATTTAAATGGTTAAATTTAAAGGGATGATTTTTCGTACAAATATTCAAAAACGAACAAGTTAATAATTTATAGCTGTAAACTTTACTACTACGTGGTTTTGTTATTATTTTATTTAAATATGGTGAACTGTGGGGATGTTAATTTTTCTTGCACAGAAACGTTCATAAATTAAAAATCCATAATTCATCAGTTTGAAATTGGCAATTTGTCGCCAATGGTGAAACCTAAATTAAAAATCTTCACCAATCTTATTTCCCATGAGTCAAAATTATCCCAGAATTTTTCGGACCAACGATCATCACAAATATCATTCGCCACCCAAATTCACCCAAACATCCACCAGAACAAGAAGAACCACCTCGGTTCACCCGCAATAAATAATTCACGCCTTAATCAGGGTCCTACGATATTTCATCCCCGTCTCGATCTCCACCGATTCTAGTCACCCTTTACAATAATTCTCGCCTTGGTGAAGGCCAGCCTTGTCTCGCATCCGGTACGAAACGAATTTACTTTTAATTGGCGTGCGCGTGACCGTGTCGTCCGAAAGTATGGTCACCGGTCCAAGGCCAGTGATGTACGAGGGTCAGGCCATGTTTCCGCCTGTTTTGACCACGGAAGGGGGTTAGGGATGGGCAGTACGCCCAGGGTCAACGGATCACCCATCCGGGGCACCCGGTCGCGCCCTGAACTTTCGAGAGGGGTCCCTCCTAGCACGCGTCCGACCCTTGGACTGACCAGAAAACGGACCTTCGAGGACCATGACACACCGGTTCGGGAAAAAGTCCAAATTAACGGAGTGTCCACTTTGGCCCAGGTATACGGGACGAGTTGGGGGATGATGGAACCACCGAAATATGGGTCGCGGTCGAACGTACGTTTTCAACGATCTTGTAGGCCAGCTTCGTGGCATTGTCGTGTGCCCATCACCTGCGTTCTATCTTCTGCGAAACTGGATCCTGGCCATCGTTGACGGGGGCCAATGTTCCTCGATGTCGTTTGACCGTGGTATCCGGGGGTCGGGTATGACCTACATTCTCGGTTTTGTTACTGTCCTTTTGAGTCTCGTTGGGCTGGATGTTTGAATCCAACGTGAATGCTTTATAAACGCGTTTGATAAATGGCTTATATACTCAACATGATGAAAATTGTGTGTACAGATATTATAGAAGTAAGTTATTCTATTTTTAGGAAGGGAGCTTGAAATATGTTTCAGTTTTTCGAGGAATGATTAATTGTTAATTACCGATAGTGCTTTCTGATGAAAGAGGGTTGCTGCTGCTGCGAAATGAATTAGATGAAGATGATATCGCTGGTGGTGAAAAAATCGAATAAATCGAAAAAATCGAATAATGAAATTAATAATTTGTTTTAACAAAGATCTCAAATACAAATAAAAGCTTTAATTATTTAATTATACATGATAACCAAATTGTAAATAGCTTCTAAACTAAAGGAACACAGTTTCTAATTTGATAATGTCTAATTTCTAATTTCATAATCATTTCTGTTTCAGGTCCATGAATGCCTTATGGACATTACGAATACCAAAGTACGTGTGGAATCGAAACAAGAAATGACGGATCAAGTTCGACAAAGGGCTAACGGCAAGTACACACGCCACTTTGCTGGCTTGTAATGGAATTCCAACACGAATATAAGTAAGTCCTTGTCTTTGATACTTGTTCTCACATCAGTAAATCATTGCGACAAAACAGGGGATCTTCATGACTTCATGAATTGTTAATTAAATGTGCCTCTCTTTATATTTGACATGAAGGGGAGAGATTGACTGTGGTGTATTTTAATTTTCCACCTATTCTTATTAATTTTTGTTAATTTTTACATAATTTTCAATTACTTTATAAAGTACTGGTACCGTTATTCTATGGAATTTTATTAGTGAATTTATTATGAAATATCTATATATTTTAACTTACAGTTTTTAGTAATATAAGTTATTGTACTGATTGATTGGTAAGAAAATTTTCCAACTATTTTTAACATGATCGTTAATCATACTTGAATCCAGACATTTGAAATGTCATAGCTGATGCAAATGCTATTTATATTTGTATTATAAAATTGGAATAGAAACGAGCCTTTTATTACTTCCATGTTCTAATTCTCGACTGCTTTAAACCCACCACAGTCAGTCAGACGTCAATTATGACGAATTCTTTATCTCATGACAGAAGGAAGTGGAAACTTAAAATTACCACGTTAATTTGAAAATAAAAAGAAACGAGTGTACCCACTTTTAGGTGGTTTGAAAATGAGATCTTCATTTTTCCCTTGAAGTATCAAATTAATGCGCACACTTAACATTAATTAATTGCTTAATAAGTATTAATACATGTGCCGTAAATTTCGTTTACCTTTCAACTTTTTAAAACCCAAAATTTCTATATTCATTGAAACTCTAATGAAATTTAATAAAAAAAAAAAAAATGTGGTTTAGGACACTTTGGACTATGCTTGCTTCTAAAGAAAAATGGAGCAACGAAGGCATGATAGCTAATATATTCGCCTTTATCTTTTCTTTGATATCACACGAGCTTTCATGTTTTCAACTCTACTTCAGTATTTCTATTAAAAAACGCAATTTAAAAACAGCAACAAGAAAGCTGATCAAAGACTAAATAGCAGAGATCTCAAAGAGAAGGATTCTTTAGACCCTCTATAAGCATCGAACGAGTCGAAAAGCATTGAACAGGAAAAGACACAGACATCCTTTGTTCCCTTTTGCTCCATATTTCCTTCTTTCAACCGTTACTTCGTCGATGGACGTTGAACAAACCCTGATTTACTGTTCTGAGCAGTGTTAATAATCCTTAAACACAAAAGTTCCTATTTATTATTTAGTATTACAATAAATATTAATGGCAGATTTTTAATCCTAAAAAACTTTAGATAAAGGAAATTCCAGCCTTATTTAATAAAAAGAAATCTGATGAATTTAACTTATTGGAGTCTGGCTAGTTTCGTAATGTATGTAATATCATTGACTTCTACTACTTGCTATTTTATTTCAGAACCTAACAACTGCAATTCTGCTATGTTGACTGCCACAGTGAAAAGGACTATGTATGGTCAGACACGTCCAACCGTTTCACTTCTCAAATGAAGTTTTCCAGTTGTTATCAGGTAATTTCGTAATTCGTAACGTAATTTCAATGCCATATAAAAATTTTTTAATACAAGTCAAATGTGAATTAATTTGTCACTGGAAGTCAGCTTGTTGAAAAACTACAAAACTTGCATCAAGAATATTCTACATCCAATTTTATCCACGAATACCCCAAGGAAACCCATGCACTCTGTGTCTAAGCAACCCGTAGAATCTTCCGTAATTAGAAACAGCAGACTATCGATCTTCATGAAGTAGAAGAAGAAGAAGTAACGGTTAACGATAATGTAACAAACTCCGTGTGGAGTTTTCTCCTGCATATACCCGGCGTCGTTCACATACACACATCGCGCAGAGAGCATGTAAATACATGTACACGTGCATCGAGGAACGGCTATATCGACAGCAAAATAAGGGATCGCCGTGGGAGGGTGGTTACATGAGGGATGCTTCGTGAAGCCATAGACGTTCGACTGCTCTCCATCCATCCGCCCTCGTCCGTCGCCCGACCAACCCCCTCGACCGCCACCCCTCGATATTAAAAATTTCAATATCCTAGCCCCAGGGGTGGAAAACACATAATGTATTCAGGTGACGTCCCGGCCATTCTATCGGCGAGAAAAACGTACAGTTTTCGAGGAATCGAATCCACCCTGCTAACCACCCACACCCACCCTCTCCAGTTTCTCTACTCCCCCCTCCCCCTCCCACCTCCACCCCGACGGACCGAAGCATCGCCACCACCCACGTTTTCGACCACCCCTTCCTTTCGAGCCTCGACCTACCTCCCCTCATGGGTTTACGTGCCACCCTCGAGGACGATGACGACGGAAGATGCTTTGTTTCTTTCTATCTTGAACGCCACGTGGAACCTTCTCTTATTCGTTCGCCGATGGATCGAATGGGGTTGATCGGACCAGTCGCTCGGTCTTCGTGGTGAAAATGGACAGGTGATGTTTTATCAATCATTTCAAATAAAAGTTATTCAATTCAACTAACTGTGAAAAAATATTGCAGATTCAAATGAAAATTCTTTTAAATAAAATAAATATCTTATTTCACATTTTAAAATTGTTCGACCAGATTGAAGAAACTTCCCTCGACCAAATCAAAATCGTTCACCAAACGCTTCAACTTCAATTTTATTTATGTACACCAGCCAACAACGGATCACTTTCGGAATTGAAATCCCTCTCGGTATCCGAAAGAAAATCCTCCACTTTTAATTTCCATCGTCCAAGACACAAAGTCCGCGCACCCTTCGCTCGAGCGTCGTTTCATCCCCTACGAATTCCTTTTGGAATTCGACGATCGCGATCGTCGTGGAGAGTTTCCTGCCGATAGGATGGCGTTCTTGGAACAGATACGATTTCACTGTCGTCCCGCATCCGGTACAGAGGAATGGGGCATCGAGAAATTGGTAGAAAGTAAGTTCTCGAAATCAACCCCCTCGGTTCTCAGGGTCGTCGAAGGACGTACAATAGGGCAGAATCCCAAAGTTTCATTTTTTCAAATTCAAAACGCCAAATTATATCAAATGACTTCATTATTGAAATGCTTTATTAGAAAATTTTGAAATTTCATAATCTTGAAACCTCTACATATAAAACACTAATTCTACCAATTTTTGAAAATACTATGTTGCAAAATTCATCAAAACTTAAAAATGTTGCCCTCAAAAATTAACAAGTGTGTGCCCACTGATCAGAATTATTGTGTTTTTAAAAAGATATGTAAAGAAAGAAAATTGCTTTTCTTCTTGTTTATAAGATTCTGTTCTACTGTGGACCTTGAAGAAGGGGGGGCAAATAGTCGGAACGATTCTATGGGGCCACGATTCTAAACAACTTAACGATAAAATTTATAGTTCCAGAGCACGCCTACTACCCTTAGCCCTCTCGGGCTTTCCGTGGAGGGTGGTTGAGGAGAAGACCTCCCAGTCCGTACATAGAAGGTCTCTTGTACAGGACTTTTACCCTGCAGAGTTGCGTCGTAATTTATGGATGCCGTTCCCTTATCCGCAGGATACGAACTCCACTCTCCCCACACGTTTGCTGTCCTTCTATCGATCCTATATACCGCGACGAAACGGGTGTTCAAAAAGTATCGACTGAATTTCGCTATGGGGTCGTTTCGATTCTGATCCCGTAGCTCGTCTTTATTTTCGTGCCGAGGCCGATCCACGGCTTGGCGGAAAGCGAAAGTTAATTGAGAGGCGGAAGCGAGACGGCGAGATTTGTAATTCAGATTTTTCAGCTCGCTTTATCCTTTGCTCGCTGACGCGCTCCGTCTCCCTCTTCTTCGCCTACTTCTTCCTTGCTCTATCCTACTCCCTCCTTTCTCCTTTCTTTCTTCGTCGTTTTTCTTTCCGGAAATTTATGGAGAGAGTTTCAACAGAACTTTTCGTCGACCCGACAACTTCCCGCGGATTTCGAGGCGCGAGTGAAAGTCGCCGAGTGTCTTTCGCCTCTCGAAACATACACAATTGTTCATTCCACGTACGTAAACATATGAATTTCACACCAGCGTTACTTTAAACATTATAAATCTAATTCTTTTCTTGATGCTGTTTTCAGATTCTTCCGGTGTTACAGAGACACCCGTTACATGTCGAAACACACCCTGTACAGAAATGCTTGGTTTGCCTGGGCGCGCGAGCGTTCCTCGCTACGTGTTTGCATGTGCACGCGTGTATGTGTGTGTTAGTCCACCCTCGAGGGAACACGGTGTGGGAGAGTGGATGAGGGATGGAAAGCGAGGCGAGAGAGGGAGGCGGCCGGTGTGTTACCCAGATAGAGCGTAAGAGAAAGAGAGAGAGAGAGAGAGAGAGAGAAAGAGAAAGACAGTGGAGATGCGGATTAGATGGAGAGGGATGGAGATAGAGAAGAGGGAGGAAAAGGGACGAACCGTACACGTAGAGACAAACATAGGGAGTATAAAGGTGAGAGCGAGAGGGTAGGAATACGTGGAGGCCCGTCTTATATTGATTTCTGTCCACGCCACCCCCGCCGTGCCACCACAACCCCTGCGAGCCACCCTAAACCCGAGCAGGAGGCAGCGCCAGCAGCAGGTGTGGGGATCGAAAGAGAAAGAGAGCTCGACGGTGGGAAGGCGGAGGGTGGAAAGAGAATGTTGCAGGAAGAGGGTGGGTAAGGATAGAAGAGAGAGACGGTAATAGAGACACGGTGAGACGGAGAAGACTCGCTCGCCGCACTTTCGACGGGAGAGACCCTCGGGGGTGGCACTCTGTCACATTCAACCCCCGACCACCGTCGCCAGTCCGCCAGCCAGCCTCGTCTCCCCCCGTCTGTCCCATCCTACCATTCAAATAACAGGCACCGTTGCTTTGGAGGGTGGATGGTGGTGGCGGTGGTGCCGATGGTAACGGTGGTACGAGGCTGCTAGATCGGAGGGCGGGCTGACAGAGGGTGAGTTTCGTCCGGCCGAAGCACACCTCGATCGATTGGGCTTGTCCAAGGGTGGAAGAGGTATCCCGTCCCCCTCTGCAC